TTGAAAGAGCGTTTGCAGACCTGTGAAACAAAATAATTTAATTTAGTCACTTTCTGTGAGATAATAATGATGTTCTAATTGAAAAATGTACTCTGATATAATTATCCTACATCTTTATAAGCCTGCCTCAGGAGCACAGTAAAAGAACAGATGAGAATATTTTTACCGTACCATGTAAGAAAAGGCTCTCAAAGTTTTATTTGTATCACTTGATGCGTGTTCAGGAGACAGAAGCCTGATAAAAGCAAAATGATTTCCTGACTTGGTCTGGTAACCTCTTGGGGCAGGATTCAAAGGAAGCTTTAGCCACATAAATCAGAGCCAGACTTCGGAGTGGGACTCACGCATAGACATGGGTGCCCCGTGCCCTGGTGTGCTTTGGGGTATCTCCCCCAGCTTCCACCTGCAGCTCCCAAAGGACATAGGCCTCCTATGTGTTATCTTCTGCCACACCATTTGCAGATATATGTATTCCTGACTGTCTAAAATGGCACTGGAATTGGCCATGGGTTGCTTCCTCCACGTCAAAGTCAAATTTGTTTCCCTCAGGAGTTTTCCAGGTGAACTCTGGAAGGGTGGGAGGGAAGAAGAAACAACTCCTTGTTTCTCCCTGCCCTGGTCTGCTGCTCTGGGTTGTTGCTCCTCCACTGCCATGTTTTCAAGAGCAAGTCTTTTTGCAAAGAAACCAATCTGAAATTGCTGTGCAGGGCAGCCTGCTCCCAGGACAGGCTCAGGCTCTGGATCCACGGGGCTGGACAGGACATGATCACCTGTGGTTTCCCTGTGAGTTAGCTCTAGGAGATCCCATTTCTGCACATGGGTTTCTGGGACTATCCCTTTGTCAGTCATCTCTGTGCCTGCTACAGCAGTGCACCTATGTCCTCCACGTGGCCCTCTGGCTGGTTTTGGGAAGATATCCCTGTGTATAAGCTGAAAGCTGCCCCATCCTCACGTTGCTAACAGAAACACTAGGCAGAGTGGAAGCCCATATGGCTGCAGCAGTGCAAGTGCCGCCGAGTCTAGCAGGGCTATGTCAGGGCCCATGCAGTGCAATGGGACACTGGAAGTGTGTACATCTTATCCAGGCTGCAGAGGACCTCACCAAAAATACCAGTAATATGTTCCAGGCTAATAAGCATGGAAAAATTAGCTAAGTAGGAGCAACAACACCTTCATTTCACAGAAGAGATGGTGCACCTGAGGTTGTTAATAGGCTGGCAGCCATTGCTGGAGCTTACATGTGTGGCTGGAACTGAAGTGCTGTTTGCTTCCAACTGCAATCCCAGGGAGAAGAAACTCAGCACATTCTATTTACTGACATTTCTGCTGTGAATGAAGAGGAACTGCCAACCCAGGAGCCCCACAGAAAGTGCATGGAGGACAGAGCCCATATCTGGAACCCTTTGGTGGAGGAGAAATGACTGCTGCTTCAGCAGCTGCTCTGAAACTCAAGTAAGAACAGGCACCTGGCAATTAGCTTTTGGCACATTTACTTCATAATTTTTCTGGCTGCCTAAGAACATGGTGTGGTACCACTAACCCACCCTAAGATGAGACAGCTCAGCTGGGACTGTACACCACTTGTTGTTGGGATCCTTCTCACACTTAGCAGGGACAAACTGGTGGGCCCAGGAGCTCCATGAGAGCAAAGCTGTAGATGGCTGCCTTCTTCCTTTCTCCCCTCCAAACTCCCAGAGAAGCCCCAGTTTTGGGAGGAAGGTTCAGGACTCAGGAATCAGCAATGAGAAGGAAAGAGCAGAACAAAAATCCTCCTATATTCATCCAAAGTCCCCCAGCAGGTCTCCCCCAAACTTGCCATCCATGAGATGATAAGCTTGCCATCCTTGCTGTGCAGGAGCCACCCACCCACTGGCCTGTTCAGAGGTGGGGAGAGGCAGGAGTTAGCCAGATGTCACTGGAAGATTCCTTGGCCATACCCAAACGCTCAGGAAGAGGATAGAATCACAGAATCATAGAATCATTAAGGTTGGAAAAGACCTGTAAGATGACCAAGTCCAACCATCAACCCAACACCACCATGCCTACTAAACCATATCCCGAAATGCCACATCTACAGGTTTTTTGAACACCTCCAGGGATGGTGACTCCACCACTTCCCTGGGCAGCCTGTTCCAATGTCTGACCACTCTTTCAGTAAAGAAATTTTTCCTAATATCCAATATAAACTGCCCTGCCAGCACCCGGCTCAGCTTTTGGAGGAGGGAGGAAGCCTGGGACAAGGAGGGTCTATGCCTCCAGCGCAGCAGAGTTGTGATGGCAGCATCACACATGGGAGGTCTTGTGGCTTAGGCTGTCTGTCCATCCTGTCACCATGCCCTGGAGCCATCACGCAGGCATGGGGTGCTCCCACCTTCCTGTTCTTCACATGGAGCAGATGCATATTGCCATTAGCTACATCGGATCCACTAAGGCCCTTGGGGCCTTTCCTGACTATAGCGAGGGATATGCAGGCTCATAATATATTAATAATCAAGAATTTTTTATTTATAAGGCAACCTGCTCCCTGCTATGGAGCTGAGGCACCATGCAATAAGTCATAATAAATCTAATGAAACAGTATAAATAAGTAAACAGCTTTAATCCTAGCTGTAGAATTATTGGGTAAATTAGTGAACAGAAAATTAGATTTTTGTTTTCTCTTCATTTTTCAAGTTTCATGTGATTCTGGAAGCTGTAAATTTTTGGGGGGAGTCTGTCAAGGGGCAGGAGACATAGCCAAGTGTCAGAGAGATGCGAGTGCCTCGAGCACCGGAGGGAAAAGGGCAGAGGTGTCTGTCCTTTGGATTGGGACTCGCTGATCAGGGCTGGGGTGGCAGCGGTGCCAAAGACTGGTCCCAGCACAGCCCCTCACCCCTCCGAACCAACAGCACCTGGAGTCACGGTGGGAAATGACTTGGACAAATCCCAGCCTTTGCCCTGCATGGCACAAGTTGACTTTCTGGTGCCACTGCAGTTGGCGCTGGAGGAATCCTGGCCAGGGATTTCTTTTTTCACTTGTGGTAAATGTCTTCACTTGTGGCATAACATCCTTTCAATCCAGCTATGGGTGATGTCATCACCGACACCCATCACTCCCCTGTCTGTTGGGCCCCAGGGTGAGAGGTGGGGGGCCAGGCTGGGTCTCTGCCCAACCCCTCAGCACATGAACCAGAGCTGCCATTGCCAACTGATGCCCTGCTCTCCCTACTGCACCTCTTGCCAGCAGAAGCTCATCAAGAAGCTGCAGGCTGAGAAAGCCTATCAGGAGGAGATTCAGTTTCAGGAGGAAATGAAGAGCTCCTGGGAGAAGCTCAAGGGCTTTCAGGGAAAAAATCAGAGGTGGCCATCCAAGTCTTCTGGGAAGAGGAAGAGCCAGTCTGGGGAAAAAAAAAAAAGTCTGAGAGGTAAAAGCTGCCTTTTGTAAGGAAGAAGACCAGTTCAGGAGGAAGCAGAAGCCTTCTGGAGGGTGCATTGTGATGTCTGGAAGGACTATAATGCTTCCTGAAAGAACGATAAGGATTTCTGGAGACATGATCAGCTCCTCTGGGAGAAAGACAGAGTCCTTCTGGATGAGGACAGAGTCCTATGGGCAGAAGAAGTTCTGTGGGCAGATGAAACAGCTTTCCTGGAAAAGAAAAGAGCTCTCTGAGAAGATGGAGGCCCTCCAGGAAGACAAAAATACCCTCAAGGAGTGTGAAATGTTGATCTGGAAGGAGGCCTTTGGTCCTGAGAGAGAGGCTGTCTCCAGGGATGCCACTGTCCACAGGGGAAGACGATAAATTGGTCTGCTAGCCTCAGAAGCATGTGGAAAGCCATGTATACTGATTTGGATATTTTACTTAAGAAGTACTGCACTTCAACCAGTTCTCTGAAATAGCATCTCTAGTTCTAGGAGTAAATGAGTAGGGTCTTTTTAATGTGATTTGCTTTAAAGTCATTGTAGTTAAGTTTTCAGGACATTATTTATTCTTTTGAGGTCCTGTGGCCTGAGGAAAGAGGTAAACCTCTGGTTTCTTGGCCTGTCACCAGGTGGAGGAGTGTGGGTGGGTAAAGCCACAAAAAAACTGAGGGCTTAATGGCTGGGATCATCTTCTGGAGCTCACAATATCTCACCTGACTCAGTGCAGTTGTATCAACTGAGTCAGTGCCAAAATAAGGCACTGATAAATTATAACCTTTGGATCCCCCGTATTTAAGAGGAACAGTTAACTATCCTGAGACTTCATGAAAAATCTCATGCTGTTCCACCAGGTTGTTATTCACCTGCTGAGCTTCTGTTGCCAGAGCAGGTACAGAAGCCTCTTACAGAAAATCCTCGATAACTGCACTGCAACATGCGGTCAATATTTAGCAATATTTGATGTGATGTGAGTACAGAGCCAGTGCCTTCTGCTGAGCTGTGGCACAGGAACTGCAGTTTTCCTTGCCTTCTCAGGAGCTGAGCTCAGATGCTTCACATTTTCGAAGACTGAACTGTAAAGGCTGGTCTCGAAGCAAATATACGTTTGACCTGCTGTACATCCAGGAGCGTGGGGAACAAGAGCAACGGTGGAAAGTACTCATCTGAGTCAAACCAGGCATTGAATTTTTCTCTGGTGTGGTAGCATTAGTAGCTCATTCTTCAATAAAGGATTTTAATGCTGAAAAGTCTCAAGGACACAATGTTAGAAGCCTTTACAATTGCTGTTGAAGAATCTGATGGCTTCTGCAACTCTCAGGCACACTTAAGCTGTCACTGACCCCTGCCACTCAAGCTCAGTCCTTTGTGATCTGCTGTAGGATAAGGCTGCCTGTCCCGTTTAATTGTGCTCAAGACAAATTATGCACTATGTCTTTCCTGAAAAATCCATGAATATTTATCGCTCAGTGAATAACCAGCCCATAAAAAAGCCAGCTGATTCAGCCAGGGGAGGAATGTTTTGCGACCTTTCTTATTATTATTCTATTATTACTATGTAAGACAGAGATGAAAATGACCTATTAGACCATTCAGTGCCACTTCCTGCATATTCAGGACTCTTACGCATTAGAGCTTTATCACTAGATACTATAGAGAGAAAGAACCTTTCAGAAAATAACAGTATGCAAAAAGCACTTGTCACTTAATATATTTTAATGTCAAAAAGCCAAGAATTTATCTCAGTTATTCAAATCCACACATCAAATTATCATCCATTTAAAGTAAAATTAGATATGCTTTGCCTTACAAAGCACTTCAAGCACATGAAATGCTCTTAGGAGAGCTCCTAGTCACTTCTTCTTTCACAGGAGAGCAGAACAGGGTTTCTCTGGTAAGAGTCCTGTCAGTATAACACAATGGTTGTGAAATTTAAGGCATTAGACAATGCAGTGCAGAGGAACCAGAAGTTTAGCCAGAGAAAAGTATGTACCGGTATGGTTTTAGACTGCTGGTAGATCCCCTGAAAATACTCCATCTACCTGGTAGTTTCAGAGCGGCCCGTCCTTGGGTGGCATTGCTGGAGAGAGACCACATGCAAAAGGCTTGCCGGGGCTGGGTATTTGAGGTGGGAAGCTAGAGGGCACCTGCTCTGCGTCCAGCAGCTCTGGACTGAGGATGAACTTCAGTCATGAAGCCAGTCTCTGCTAACTCACTGAAGGGGTAAAGTAGTGAGAGGAACAAAGAAAGAACTACGATAACAAAAAGCTCACTTACATTTATCGCTCTAAAATATGCACACAGACGCTTTCATGCCATGGAATTCCAAATGAAAAAATAAATACACCTTTCTTGGAAGAGCAAGTCTGCTGATCTGGCATAGGTTGGCATTCGGGACCAGGAGGGAACTGGGTGTGTCTGAAGAAGTGAAGATATTTGAAGCATGGACTCACCTAAAGTAGGGTGGAAGGACCTAAAGAAGCTACCAAGTCCATCTGTACCTCAAAAGACTGTAATGCTCTGTGCAAACACTTGTGTAAGCTGTTTTGCTAGCTTAATTTCCAGCACTAGTGTCGCACAACCATCAACTATCCTCTAGGGCTTTACTTATATTAATTTTTTTGTGGTGTCTGAGGTGAATCTCCCCAATTGCAGTTTTGACTTCTTATCTGTAGTCCTGTCCACAGTGGACATGGGGAACAGCCCTTCCATTTGCCTTGTATTTGTCTGTCTGAATCTTGGTATTTTCTTCTCTACTCACATCTCCCTAGACTAACCCACCCCATCTCCTTCTGGCCTCCTTCACTGAGCAAGAGCTTTAGGTATCTGGGAGGCTTTTTTCCTCCCTTCTGACCCTCTTCAAAAGACTGAAAAATTGAGATACTTTGAAACATCCCTGAATATGACAAAAGTCCAGGCCGTGGTGCTTGCCTTGCAGAAGAGATTCAGCCGGGAGTGACGTAGCCGAGCCCTTCGGACACCAAACATCCGTGCCGAGCTTCACCGGTGCCGGTGGGTCCTTCTGCAGAGCAATGCCACCACAAAGAGCCCTGTTCTGCACCCCGGGGTATCTCAGTCCCCTGTGAATGGAGGCCAAACCTGGGACTTACTCAGCGGCACGGAGTTAGGCAGAACAGGCACCGGTTTAACTTTAGACCAGAATCAAACTTCCTGTGGTTGCTGTTCCAATAAAGAGGCATTAAAGATAAAAGCAGAACAGTTAGTGTAATTTCAGAGTAAACACAAGGATAAAACCCAAATATAAGGAAACACGGTGAACCTGAACGAGTGTTAGATGTTGGCACACAATTAATTTAAAGGCAATGAGCTGTGCGCACTCAGGAAGGTTTTGCAGGCTGAGCAAGGCCTGCACAGAGAGATCTGACAATAGGACGCAGAAACTTAAGGGACTGGCTGGGCTGCAAGCCCAGAGCTCACCTGCTTTCTGTTGCAGGTGATGCACTTCTTGCTCTCATTCCCGGGACAAAAATATGGAAATTCTATGGAAAATATTACAAAAATATATGTTGGGGCAGAAGAGTCCCACTTTATGCACGCTGAAAGGCAGCCCTGGCCTCAGTCACGAGCCAGTGAGGATGCTGTTAAACCTGAAATTCATATTTCTAGGTGATACTCGAGTTTTTTCTTTCAAAGTTTCTGCTCAAGCGATTCACAGCAGGCTATTTTCTGCTCACAACAAAGGTGGAAATTACAGACTGCAGCTTTGTACCTCTGAAAATACAGAACATCCCAAAGCCCAAAGTGTCTTACAGAGGGATGACAACACTTCTCACATAGAGCAATGAAGAGATGGAGTCATTAGTGCCAAATCAGCATAAATATTTGAATGGGACAAAGAATAGCTCCTGAGCTCACCTGTACATTTTTAAAATGCAGCAGTGTCATCAGAAGGCATTCCTTTTTTTTAAGGCTTTCCTGACACAGCTGTGGAGCTAACTCACGGGAGAGGCAGAACATGGAAAATGGTAAAGAGTCATTTAAGTCAACTGACATGTCTACATGTGTCATAAACCGGAATGGTAAGAACAACAAAAGAAAATTAAATTTATTCAGTATATGTGTGTGTATATATGTGTTTCTGTATATATAGCTGTGATTTCCAACTCTGCGTGTGAGTCATTGCATCGGAGGAATGTAAAAAAGCTGGGAGACAGGCCTGTGACTCACGGGAAATTGGAGGTATGGAGAGCATCCAGCCACGAATATAAATCCTGCTACTGTTCTGCCAGGAAGTCTGGCTGAATTGTTGAAAAGTCAGTGCAGAGGGTGTCGCAGAAATTGAAGGAGGAGATAGAATACTGTGACTGAAAATATCAGATGGGGAAAAATAACCACACTTTCATCCTTCAGCAATTAACATCTAATGTGGGTTAAAGAAGAGACGAACCACGAAGAAACTGTTTTTTTAAAACAATTCTATAATGCTGAAAATCTGTCTGTTTCTCTCTTTCTTTCTCTGTCTCTTCCCTCTTTTCTTCTTTTTTAAATCTTTTATTTACTGATTGAACGAGGAGCATGATCTGCAGAGGAGGGAATTGTAGATTCTTGACATTTGGGGATTTGGGGGAAGGTTTTGGTCCTGATCCAGCAATTCACTCAGTCCTTCAGAGTTCCTGAAATGTTCCAAAGTCCCATATAAATTCATATTTAGAATTAAAACCGGGATTCTGCTATCACTGGTTCACAGGCAGTATGAGAAGTGGGCAAGGGGAGCACTCAGAGATGGTGGTGAATTCGAGCACAAGCATACATGCTTGATGACATGGGCTTTTATCAAAATACAAGACAATTCAGGTTTGTACCTGGGATCTTTAGAAACCATGGTGGCAGCCCTGGAGCTGTGAAGACAAACACAGCTTGTATCTTGGTTCTTCAGGTTTGCAACACACGATGCAGAACCACTGAGCAAGCAACTGGCTTCCCTTGGCTGCAAATTGTCCTCTTCTTATTTGTGATTTTCGTGTGTGCGCTGGGGTACAGTGTGTACACGTAGACATATACTGAGAGAGAAAAAGTGTCCTGCTGGAGAGCAGCTCTGCAGAGAGGGACCTGGGAGGGCTGGTGGATGACAGGTTATCATGAGCCAGCAGCGTGCCCAGGTTGCCAAGCAGGCCAATGGGATCCTGGGGTGCATTAAGAAGCGTGTGGCCAGCAGGTTGAGAGAGGTTCTCCTCCCCCTCTGCTCTGCCCTAGGGAGGCCCCATCTGGAGCAGTCTGTCCAGTTCTGGGCT